AGTATGTATTCAAGCGCTCAATGGAGCAGAAGTCTTCAATTATATCTTAATAAATTTGATTTGTTTATCATTATAGAGCGATATACTTGGATTGAATTGAGTGACATGCATCTTACTTATAGAGCAGCTAATTGCAATGGACGGGCAGCACAGAGACTATATCAACGACGATATCCTGGTCGCCGCATTACATATCATTCCATTTTCGAATCCATTCATCGACATTTGCGAGAGAATGGTTCTTTTAGAAGATCGAATGAACGACGATGTTCAGTGAGAACTCTGCGATTTGAAGAGCAAGTTTTAGCAGAAATAGAAAACAATGCTTCCATTAGTACACGTACAATTGCATTTAACATTAGAACAAGTAACATGAATGTATGGAATGTTGTTCATGAAAAATTACTATATCCATTTCATCGGCAACGTGTACAAAGTTTAAAATTTAAAGACTATCCATGACGTTTAGAATTTGCGCAATGGTATTTGCAGCAATGTCAAACATATCCCGAATTTTCTTCTTTAATACTGTTTACTGACGAAGCAAGTTTCACAAGGACAAATATGTTTAACACTCACAATTCGTATGATTGGAATGAGGATAATACTCATACTACATTTATTCGATCACATCAAGAAGAATTTACGGTTAATGTATGGGCAGGTATTATCAATAATTTCCTCATCGGGTCATACATTTTATTTTTACGATTGAATGGCAATATTTATCGTATTTTTCTCGAGGAAGTTTTGCCAGAACTCATGGAAGACGTGCCACTTGTCACAAGAAGGCAAACGTGGTTCCAACACGATGGAGCACCTGCCCATTTTAGTGCTATTATGAGCAATTACTTAAATCAAAAATTTAATGAGCGCTGGATAGGAAGAGGTCCTATCGCATGGTCTCCTCTGTCACCAGATTTATCTTCACTTGACTCCTTTTATGGGGGCATATGAAAACTCTCATTTATGAGACATCTATTGAAACAGAAGCAGAATTGGTAGCCCGAATTACTGCTGCAGCATATTAGGTTCATAATATTCCTACAGTCTTCGAGCGTGTGAGACAATCGATGTTTCGACGATGTCACCTTTGTGTTGAATTTTTGAACATTTATTATAAATTGAGTT